GACACTTCCCTCCTCCTTCTGGGGACACAGGGACACTTCTCTCCTGTGCTGGGACACCTCCCTTCTCTTTTGGGTACAAAGGGACACCTCCCTCCTGTGTTGGGGACAAGGAGACACTCCCCTCCTGCTTCTGGGGACAAGGGGACACCTCCCTCCTGTGCTGGGAACACCTCCCTCCTGCTGCTGGGGACACAGGGACAATTCTCTCCTGCAGTTTGGGGACAAAGGGACACTTCCCTCCAGTGCTGGGGACATAGGGACACTTCCCTCCTGTGCTGGGGACAAGGGGATGTTGTATTGCCCTAAGGGGACACCTCCTTCCAGTGCTGGGGACACTTCCCTCCTGCTGCTGGAGACAAGGAGACATTTCCCTCCTGTTCTGGGGACAAGGGGACACTTCCCTCCTGCTGCTGGGGCTCTCCCGTCACACTGATGGCCAGCCAGTGTCTGTGACACCGCAGGGGACTCAGGGACCACAGCATGGGAGAATCCCATCTCCAAATGCCCCACTGCTGCCCGGCATGCTGGTGTGCTGCTGGATCTGTGCCTGAAGGGTAGATGCCTGGAAGAACCAGGAACCCTTCCCTTTCTCCCTTTCCTGGAGGTCAGACACCTGGAGAACCCAGGACTCCATCCCTGTCTCCCGTTCCTGGGGTGCAGATGCCTGGAGAACCCAGGACTCCATCCCTGTCTCCCTTTCCTGGAGGTGAGATGCCTGAAAGAGCCAGGACCCTTCCCTTTCTCCCTTTCCTGGAGGTCAGATGCCTGAAAGAGCCAGGACCCTTCCCTTTCTCCCTTTCCTGGGGTGCAGAGGCCCCAGTTTGCTCCTGCCTCTGGGTCCCTCACACCACGTGCTGAACTGGGGGTTCAGGGGTTAAAGAGCCATTTGCAATCAGTTTCCAAGGATTTGAAAGATGCCTGAAAGGAGAGGTGGTGTTTATAAAAGGAATGCGGTAATGATCCTGACCAAATAATCCTTTTTTAAAAAAGCATTCAAGAAAGATTATATATAATAGAATATATTAAATTCTGTACATGATCAAATAATGTAAACATAATTAATTAACTTGTAAGGATGTCTTTAGAGACTGTGCCTACCGTATGCCCTGGGTGAAGGTGGCAGTGGCACACGGGGCTCCTCTGTCACAGCCTTGTGGGTCAGGAGAGGAGCAGGAGGTGCCACCAATGGGTCCCCTGCCCTGACACTGTCCCTAAGGCTGGCTGAGACCCAGCTCTGGGGCAGGAAGAGCTGGGCTGGGGAAATGTGCTGGTTCTGTGCTCTGACCCCGCTGCAAACTCAGGGCTGGGGTCACAGAGAGCCTGTGGTGCCCAGGAGCAGAATGGCTGAGCAGAGACCCCACAGGACACAGCAGCAGCTCCCAGCCCCTCCATCCTCTCCAGACCAGGTGCTCACCAGCCTGACCCCCTCCCAACCCTGCTGCTCCTGGCAGCTCTGTGGAATGGCTGGGGCATCCCTGGCCCTCTCCTGCCCCACAGAATGGGGTCAGTTTGGGATCCTGATGCACAGCAGGACCACCTGTGAATCGTGGTCCTCACCCCCATGGAGCCCCAGCCCCTGGCAGGTGGGTGCACCCCTCTTGCTGACAGCTCCTGGCACCCCAGGGGTGGGCAGTGAGACACTGGGACAGCCATGGTGGCACTGACCCCCCAGGAGCCCCTGTGGCACCTCCATGAGCAATGTGGGTCACTCCAGCTTGGAGCAGGATGGACTCCACATTGCATCCAGAGGCCTGGGCCACCACATCTGTCCCTTCTCACACACACAGCCCCTCCTGGAGGATGGCCCACAGACCCCAACTTTCACCCCAACATCCATAACCCCCATGATGAGCCATGTGATGGGACACAGCCACCAGCCAAGCCAAGAAGAGCCATCTTGTGGGACACATGTGATGGGACACATCACCCATGGCCTCTCTCCTCTCCCTAAGCTCGACCCTCTCTTCCTTCCAATGCAAAAACTCAACGGCAAAAGAGTGCATGAAATCAAATAAATACTTCCCCCTCCCCTCCCCTGCAAGCTGCCCCTGAGCCTCCAACCCAGGGGTCCCTCAGTGCCAGCCCAGGGGTCCCTCAGTGCCAGCAGGACCCCCCTGGACTGTGCCCAGCCTGCTCTGGGCAGGGGCTGCAGCTCCCCCTGCCTCCCCAAGGGCTGCCAGGTGCTGCTCCAGAGCTGCTGGCTGCACACCATCACCACCCCCTGCTCACTGCTCAGTCAGGAACCCTGCCTGGAGCCACCAGGACACCCAGCAGAGCTGGCCTGGGACTGTGGGCTCAGAAGAGCTCCCATCTCCACCAGGACTGAGGGGCCACGAGCCCCCCCTTGCCCTGGGGCAGGGTCCCCACTCCTGACACTTCTGCCCAGAGGACTCATTTCCCAAGGTGGCTCAGAGAAGAGCTCTTTCCCAGGGGTCCCACAGCACCAGCCATCACCACTCTGTCCCCCAGCCCAACTGGCACCATGGGGCACTGGGACTGTCTAGAAAGGCTTTCCCTTCCTGCTACTCCCTGGATCTGCCTGGCTCCAGCTGCCTCTCCCACCCACCTGCCCTGTGTCCTCCAGAGGATGCTGGCAGGACCTGGAACACCTGGGGCTGGGCGTCCTCCCCCATCTCAACATTTCACCCTCCGGTTTGTGTTTCGTGTTCGACCTTAAGCTCAGACCGATGGCTCTCGCCTATCTTAACAAACAAAGGCAGAAGAGAAAGGAAAAAAAAACAGTGAGTTTCAATGTTCCCCTGGTGTCTTCCCGGTGGCGAGCCCGAGCAGGGGCAGGGTCACCCGGGCACCCAGCTCTGGTTCGTGGGCTGTGGGCCCCCGGGCAGCGCGGGCACGTTGAGCCCGTTCTGCGGCGGGAGCGCCGAGTCGAAGTTGAAATCCATCTCATCGCTGTCCATAAAGTCATTGAGGATGATGGACTCCACGTCGCACTCCAGGCTCCCGTTGAACATGTCCAGGTCCAGGTCTGCTGGGAACCTGTCCTGGCCCAACACGGGGGGGTGGACGGCCCCCGGGTAGGGGCCCTGCAGCGAATCCAGCAGGCTCATGTGTGCCCCTTGGCTATTGGCGTAGGGATGCAGGTGCCCGTGGTGGTGCGGCACGGCCGTCATGCTGCACGACTCACTGGGCAGGCTCATAAGGCTGACAGGATTGGCTAAGGCACTGGTGCTGACCGCAGGGTGGTGGCCGGCTGGTGACGGGTGGTACAGGGCGTTGCTCTTCATCAGAGAGCCCGGGTGGGGCGGGTAGGAGGACAGGGCCTGCTCCCCAGCCCCGCACAGCAGCGGGTTGTGTCTGTGGCCACGGGCCGGCACCATGGGGCTGGCCTGCGGCAGCGGGGGCAGCTCCCCCGGGACCATGCTCTCCTTGTGCGCATAGGAGATGGAGGAGAGCAGGTCCTGCAGCGAGGCGTTCCTGTAGGAGCTGGCGGGCGAGAAGGTGGCCTGCTTGTTTTCCTGGATGGTCTGCATGGGCAGGCGCCGCATGAGGCCCATGGCCGGCTGGCTGTAGATGGTCCCGCAGTAGGTGTTGGAGGCGGCCCCCATGCTGGAGCACTTGGAGTTGAAGGTGAAGCTGGAGCTCCTCTGCCGCAGGGCGGCCGGGGGGAGCTGCTGCGAGGGGCTCATGCTGTAGCCATCCTGAAGGTCCTCCAGCATGCTCTCCCCCAGGCTCTCGTTCAGGCTGATGGTGCCGGTCAGGTCGGTCAGCCGGGGCAGCTCCACGGAGCAGCGGGCGCTCAGAGAAGGAGACATGGTGCTGGAAGGGCTGGGGTACATCAGCGGCGACGAGGGCGTGCCATCGTCCTCCTCCAGCTCGTCCGGCTCGTGGTTGGCCATGATGGGCGAGAGGCGCCCGCTCAGCGTGCTGGCCGTGGAGCTGGCCCGCGTCCTGAAGTCCGCCCAGGCGTCGTACTCGTCGCTGGCATGGGACGCGGGGCTCTCCGACCACTTGGGCTGCTGGGAGGACGGGCTGTCCTCGCCGCGCTCCTGCGTCACCTGCAGCTGCTTCTTCTTGCTGGCCTTGCCCTTGATGCGCAGGAACTTGCTGTTGTTGTCCATGGACACGGCGCGCCGCCGCGGCGTCTTGCCCGTCTTGCCGCCCTCGGGGTTCAGCATCCACCAGGAGCTCTTGCCCGTGCCCTCGTTCTGCACGCGGATGAAGCGCGTGTGCAGGGACAGGTTGTGCCGGATGGAGTTCTGCAAAGGGGACAGCAAGGACAGGGGCAGGGTCAGCAGCAGGGAGGGCATCCCCGAAGGAAAGGGACACCCACGGGGCACTGTGGGACACCGTGGGACACTTGGGGTCCATCCCTCAGAGCTGAGGGTTTGGGGCTGGGAGAGCTCGGCTGGCAGGTCCCTCCCACATCCCAGGGGTCACAGCCCCTTTGCTGGAGTCCCAGCTCTGTCTGTGGCACAGTTCCTGCCACAGCAGGTCCCAGGACCCATCTGGGCTCCTTCCCCCAGAGCTGAGGGTTGGGGGCTGGGAGAGCTCAGCTAGCAGGTCCCTCCCACATCCCACAGGTCACAGCCCCTTGCCGCAACTCCCAACTCTGTCTGTGGCACAATTCCTGCCATAGCAGGTCCCAGGGACCCACAGCAGTCAGGGGAGCACCCATGGGACCTTCCTTCCCTGGCAGGAGGCAGCAGAGGGACAGGGTGAAGAGGCAACAATGCAGTGATGGGGTCAGGACCACGCACAGGCCCAGGGCTTCTCTGCCCATCCCTCCCAGCCCAAGGCCACCATGTAGCCAGCACATCCCACAGGATGCTCCCAGCACAGCCAGCACCTCTGTGGAGATCCCAGCCCGCTCCCCACCAGCCCCACAGACAGAGGGGATCCCTTTGGAGGAGACACCAAGCCCCTTCCCCTGCCTGGCATCACTCCTGATGTGCCCCCCTGCACCCTCAGCACCAACACCTGCCCTGTGCAGGGCACAGCAGCACCACCACAGCCCTAAACAACCTGTTGGCACCATGTGAGACCTTTTCCTGTCAGGCCAGCAGGGCAAGGGGGACGATTTCTCCCCTCGGCTCTTGTGAGACCCCATCTGCAGAGCTGCCTCCAGCCCTGTGATACCCAGCACAGCAGGGACATGGAGCTGTTAAAGCTGC